TCTTACATGTTCTGCTTGGTTCTGCCATATACAGGGCTGATTCAAAGGAAAGTAAGATCAATTATTTTACAGAAGCAAAGAAGCTAGAGCTAGTTTTTTGGGGGTAGAAAGCAAGTGGTTGGCAGATGGGCCTTCCAGGCAGAGGTAACAGAAGATCTCATTCAAGCTACCATAAGCAGCTTGACTGGGCTGAGTGGGGTGGCATGGAAGCTTGGTGGGGGAAGGGGAGATCCAACATGTGGGAGGAGGCCAGGCCTCAGTGGGACTCACAAGTTAAGCCCACGACTGTGATAAGGGGAAGGAACAGTTTCTCTCCATCAATCCCCTAGTTTGACCAAAGAGGTTTTCTCCAAACTTCTCATGGTCCTGACCCATTTTGAGCAGACAGACATGAAGGCAGCCTTGGCCTTAGAGGAAAGGCATCCTTAATAATGCAGAAAAAAGGAAAAGAGCTAATTCTTGGGCTTTTAAAATTAAAATACACTTTTGGACTTTATAGAAGAGATAATAGTTTCAGAGAGTAGATAAAGTAGCTTGGGACAAAGAGTCTCCAGACAGAGCAAGAAGGAAGAGAACTGGAGGGGAAACCAGAGAGTCCAGACAGCTGGAAGCAGATACTGGAGGTGTCTCCAGAGATCTGAGCATCAGGAGGACCTGAGTGCACCTCCAGGGGGGTCCCAGGGAGCAGTGGGAGCCTAGAACACTGTGGGAGGTATACGCCCAGGCAGCTGGGTTTAGGACAGCCTTCCAGGGCTCCTAGGCAGGGGCCTGGGTGTATCCCACAAGATGTGGAAGAGCTTCAGTCGTTTCCAAGTTCCCAAAGAGCCAGAGGTATTTTAGAAAGCGCAGCCATGTAACTTGTGGTCCCAAGAGGGGGCTGAAAGTAGCTAAAGGAGAGATACCTGGCAAGGCCCTCTCCCTCAGACCATCCATTAACAGCTGGGACCAGACCACATTACACAGTCACAGCTGTCAGAGCTGGCACTGATTCAGGTCCTACCATGTGCCACTGTTCTGAGCACTGAGCATAAAGTGACCCATTTAGCCAGCACTGCCCACAAGACAGGCAAGAGAAGAGGAGCCCCTGCCTAGACCCCATGCATTAGGGAACATGTCACAAGTACAAAATTACATATAAAGAGCATACGTGGAAGTGTCTTGTCATTCATGATTGGCACTCAACACTGACACAGTGTGGTTCATCTCTGGTTGGCCGAATAATTCCCCCCACTAAAAATGTGCACATCCTAATTGCCAGAACCTGTAAATGTTACCTTAGATGGGAATTTGCAAATACAATTAAGGTAAGGATTTTGAGATGGGGCCATGATCCTAGATTATCAGGGTGAGACCTACATGCCATCATCACAAGTATCCTTATGAGAGAGAGGCAGAGTGAGATTTGACACATGGGGGAAGGGAGGAAGCAATGCAACCATGGAGGAAAGATTGGAGTGGTGTGGCCACAAGCCAAGGAATGCAGCCTTCAGAAGCTGCAAGAGTCAAGGAACAGAGTTCCCCTAGAGCTTCTTGAGGGAGTGTGGCCCTGCCAACACCTTGGCTTCAGCCCAGTGAAAGTGATTTCAGACTGCTGCCTTCCAGAACTGAGAGCGAAGAAATACCTGTTGCTTTAAGCCACCCAATTTGGGTAATTTAAGAGTAATTTTTGGTCATCCTCAACCCTCTGCTCATGATCAACACCATTCAGGCCCAGGTAGGGCTTCTTCACACGTTTACACTTGTGTCCTTGAAACAAAAGATGACTGTACCCAAAGGCCATGAAAGTCTGAGGGCTGGATGCAGATGCCACTTTGGAACACTGGGAAGGATGAACAGTGGAGACAACTAGATGAAAGGAAAGACAGAGGGGTGCCTTGTCCAATCCTCCCTCTCAGAGGGCAGGTCTATGGTAGATTCCTAGAGGTGCCATCTGTCCTGTCCTTGCTTCTGCACATGGTTCCAGAGACATACACAGATCAGTGTGGTGACTACAGCAGATGGTGACTGAGGAACATTCTGCAACACTAAATGATTCACACTACTGTCACATTCATAGATATGTTGACATAGACGTCATATGCATATAACACGACACTAATCTTTTACATGGATAACCAAAGGGAATATTGAACACTAGAATTGCAAGGAGTTTCTATTAAAACTGCAATAAGGTATATAGTTTCAAAAGTAATTAAAAGCTTCACCTGTATTATAATAATTTGATAATTGTTGAAATGTATTAATTATAACATACTTTTGAACAGATTCAACAATTTGAAAGAAAAACAACTTTTTGAAAACATACATAGAAAAGAAATAACTTTAGTATCTTGAATTAAAATGTTTTTAAATTTATATTTTAATGAAAATATTCAAATTTTGTATACCTTGAATACAACTGTATTTGATATTTTAATCCTTTAGATCTTTACTGTTACTTGAACTCAAATTCTGTAGAAATCTTAATATAACAATATAATTCATTATGTTGTTAAAATGATGGCAAGAAAATTAAGTTTCACGTGGAATGAATACACGGTAAGTTATGTAGGTGTTTATTTCTCATCCAAACATCACTGGCCCCTCCAACAACACAAGAGTTCCAGCATGGAGGAGCCTTAGATCAGGGTAGATACTCAACAAACGTCCACTGAATGAGTGAGTGAATGTGAGTGAGTTTACATGGGGGTAAAGCCAGATAGTGCAAGTCCTTGATCACTAGTCAGATAGTTTAGCGAGTATGTCATCAGCACGGAGACTCCTCTTATACGGGGGAGAGATGCTATTAGAGCAATGTTAGGGAGATCAACTGAGCATTCAGATGCAAGAGAGACTGGAGTTAGGAGGCATCAAAAGTGATATAAACTATACACTTTTGCTTTCACTTTTGACTTTTATGTTTTCACTTTTTTTTTTTTTTTTTTTTTTTTTTTTTATTTTTTTTTTTTTTTTTTTTTTTTTTTTTTTTTTTTTTTTTTTTTTTTTTTTGACAGTCTTGCTCTGTTGCCCAGGCTCGAGTGCAGTGGCATGATCTCGGCTCACTGTAGCCTCCACCTCCCAGGTTCAAGTGATTCTCCTGCCTCGGCTTCCCAAGTAGCTTGGATCACAGGCATGTGCTACCATGCCTAGATATGTGTGTGTGTGTGTGTGTGTGTGTGTGTGTGTGTGTGTGTTTAGTAGAGACAGGGTTTTATCATGTTGGACTGGCTGGTCTCAAACTCCTGAGCTCAGGTGATCCTCCCACCTTGGCCTCCCAAAGGGCAGGGATTACAGGCATGAGCCACCATGCTCGGCCTGTTTTCACTCTTTTTAAGCGTGGTTCTTTTGATCCATGGGCAGGAATGCCCTGACCTCTCCGGTGCAGGTGTGCAGTACTGGCCTCTGTAATGGAGGCCTCTGTAAGTCATGCCCTCTGTGAGGAAGACTACTCCAGCTGTTGAGGGCAGATTGGTGCTGGGGAAGATCATGGACCTGGAGTTTCTCGGGCCTCATTGGAGTCCCAGCACCACCACGTAATCTCTGTGGATTCTTAGGCTCTCATCTTAACTTCTCTGGACCTCAATTATTTCACCTGCAAAATAGAGACAAGGCTACCTCCCTCATGAGGTGGTTGTGACATAAGAAATGGTGTGCAAAGCATACCTAGTGACTAGCAAATAGTGGGTGGTCAATAAACAGCAACTGCTGTGCTCCATAAGGCTCCAGAGCCTGCAGGCAATGGATGGCGTGCACATTCTGTGCAGACCCCAGACTCCAGACCCCTACTGCAGAAGTGTGGGCCAGGAGGCAGCAGCTTCACCCTGACCACAGCGGGGAGCTTGTCAAAAATGCAGGGTCCCAGGTCTTTGCTATTGTAAACAGTACAGCAATGAACATTTGTGTGCATGTGTCCTTATAGTAGAACGATTTATTTATTTATTTATTTATTTATTTATTTTTTTTTTTTATTTTTTTGAGACGGAGTTTCGCTCTTGTTACCCAGGCTGGAGTGCAATGGCGCGATCTCGGCTCACCGCAACCTCCGCCTCCTGGGTTCAGGCAATTCTCCTGCCTCAGCCTCCGAGTAGCTGGGACTACAGGCACACGCCACCATGCCCAGCTAATTTTTGTATTTTTAGTAGAGACGGAGTTTCACCATGTTGACCAGGATGGTCTCGATCTCTTGACCTCGTGATCCACCCGTCTCGGCCTCCCAAAGTGCTGGGATTATAGGCGTGAGCCACCGCGCCCGGCCAGTAGAACGATTTATAATCCTTTGGATATATACCCAGTAATGGGATTGCTGGGTCAAATGAAATTTCTATTTCTAGGTCCTTAAGGAATCGCCACACTGATTTCCACAATGGTTGAACTAATCAACCCAAATACCCATCGATGATAGAGACTGGACAGGGAAAATGTGGTACATATACACCATGGAATATTATGCAGCCATCAAAAATGATAAGTTCGTGTCCTTTGTAGGGACATGGATGAACCTGGAAACCATCATTCTCAGCAAACTGACACAAGAGCAGAAAATCAAACACCACATGTTCTCACTCATAGGTGGGTGTTGAACAATGAGAACACATGGACACAGGGAGGGGAGCACTACACACTGGGGTCTGTTGGGGGGAAATGGAGGAGGGACGGGGGGTGGGGAGGTGGGGAGAGATATCATGGGGAGAAATGCCAGATATAGGTGAAGGGGAGGAAGGCAGCAAATCACACTGCCATGTGTGTACCTATGCAACAATCTTGCATGCTCTTCACATGTACCCCAAAACCTCAAATGCAATAAAAAAAATGCAGGGTCTTGGCCCTTTCCCCCAGGCCAGAGGATCCGAATCAGGGTCTGCATTTCGACAAGCTCCCAGGTGACTGGTGCATAAGATGGAGTAGGAGAAGCATCTAGACCAGTAGTTTCCAGTCCTGACCTCACATTCAAATAACCTAAGCAGCTTTAAATAACCAGTGCCCCCGCCCCACCCCAGACATATTAATTCAGAATCCCAAAGAATGGTGTGGGCCTAGGTAGGCTTTATTCAAAAACTGCCCAGGTGTCTTTCACGTCCAGGTAGGATCAAGCCTCACTGGCTATATCGAAATATATGAAGCCTTGAGGACATGGTCCCACTATGGCTTTGGTGGGCTCTAGGCATCTTTGCTTCCCGGAGTCCCTTCCTCTGCAAAATAATATCAAAAATTACATTTTACTATGTCTTGGTATAAAGGGAAATATGTTGATAATATACTGTAAGATATCATCTTTAAGGCTTCCTTTTTTTAACTTCTGATTCAAAACACAAGCAGTGACACATTTCAAAGGTCACTGAAAACATGCAGGCCTGAGGCACTGAGCTCCCGGATATGCTGACCCTGCTTTGGGATATTACATAAAGGTAAGGGTGGCAAACACAGTTAAGAGAAGAGAGTTCTCCACGGAGCTATAAAGCTGATGGCTCACAGAAAACCAGATCCCAGGTAGAAGAGGGAGAAGAGAGAGAAGAAGAGGAAGGAGAAGAAGAAGAGGAAGAAGGGGAGGAAGAGGAGGAGGAGGAAGAAGGAGAAGAAGAGGAGGAGGAAGAAGAAGAAGAATAGGAGGAAGAGGAGGGGGAAGGAGTAGGAGGGGGAGGGGGAGGAGGGGGAGAGGAAGAAGGAGAAGAAGAAGAAAATGAGATAGAAAAAAGAAGGGAAGGGAGGAAGGAAGGTCCAGATTTTAACAAAATTCTAACCTAATGGAGGCAGTACTGGGGGGTCAAGAAACACCGGCACCTGCCTCTACTCGCTCATCCATTCTTTTCATCGCTCGTTCTTTTGTTTCTTCAGTCCACGACAGAGCCCCACACACACGCCAAACCCCAGCAGTTTAAAGATGCTGAAGCTATCATCCTTTCCTCCTATGGGCCAACATCTGGGGCAGGCAACCCCATACCTAGTTTATTCATTACTTTCTCGAGAATGTTAACGCAAAGTTGCTAGAATGACCACACTTAAGTAAAGCAGCATGATCAAGAAGAAATCCACGGGAAACACGTGGAAGTGCAGCAAAAGCATCAGCTATTCCCCTGTAATTACAAGCTGTGTGGCCTGACAGCTGCTCCCAAGAGAGGCTTTTTGTAAATTATTTTTATTTTAGAAATATGGCATGAAAGGATCGGTTATAAAGGCGAATCCTTGCCAGTAGAAATGTTGAGTGGACTTTATTCACACCATAGCTGTCCAAACACAGAGATGAGATTGAAAAGAGAGCAAGGAACCAAACAGAGACCACCCCACACGATGGCAAAGTCAAAACCAGTGGAAATAAAAACTCGCCTCTTCATGAGCACTTTGTTAGAAGAGGAAGGGAAGAGAGTAGTATTCAGAAGTTGCATTTAAGCTGAGTAATTAGAAATACAGTACCACCATTCAATGCACAAAAGAGCAGGGAGTTTGGATGTGAAAATTAAACATTTTGAATCTGAAAGTTTCAAGTAAACAAAAGATTAATTACTATATGCATCAACTTTTGCATTAAAAAAAAAAAAAAGCAGCCGCCAGGCCTGCATGCTTCTCTGCGATTTCCTGTGTAAAGGATAACTCCAAACTATGAGTTTTCCATAATGAGATTTTTTTTTAATATGAGGAAATGTATGCAAAATATATGCAGGTGGTAACATTTCATAACTAAGATGCCTTGCCAGGCAACATGCTAGAAATCACGGAAACTCAAGAAAACGTGTTCGAATCTAAATTCGCATTTGGTGAATGCTTTGCTTGTTCAACACACTTTATAAATACTAACTAATGCTGCCGAAATGGATGTAATGTATTATTTCATCCATTATAGAAGCAGAGAAACTCATCTAAAGAGACCCAAATGCATCAGAGAAGGAACGTGGCAGAATGGGGCCTGGAAATCTCAGGTTCTCAGATGTCATCCTCTCAATGACAAGGTCACTGGAAAGGACCAAACAGACCATTGTAGTTTTGTGATCCCCAAGTCACAACTGTGCCTGGCCTGGGGGAGGTACTCAACGAATGCATAAGGAAAGGATGATGGGAGGCAAGAGATAAACAGGGAGGGAGGGAAGGAAAGAATGAAGTGGAATGGGATTGGTAGCACAGAGAGGTTGGAGGGTGTCATGGTAGACATCTCAAGAAGTTATTCCAAGGTCTTTTCCAGGGCAAAGTGATAGAGAATAATGTGGCTTTATTGGTTTGATGGTAAGCATTAAAGGATTTATTATACGTTTTTTAGAAATCTTGAAAAAATATAAATTTCTATTTAAGATAAAGGCTATTGATTCACTAGATCGTCAAATCTTGTCTTTATCTTCACTGAAGTAAGTCTTTAGTCACTTCTGTCTTTTAACATGAGTCCATTCTTGACCTAAGTTTCTCCTCTCTTCTAGACTGTGGAGTTTCCTAGGTCTTCCCCAGAGCCCTGGTCACTCGCAGTGGGATTACCATCTCGAGCATTGGCAGGTGTCCACCCTGTCCTCCATATACACACACAGACACGGATTAATGTCAATGCAGAGAGAACGCATGTGCATCGTGTGCTGTTCATTCAAGCGGGAGCTGAAGGATGGCTTCCCCATCACATTCCCAGAGTGCCCAATCCATTACAGAGCATCTATAAATAGCCACTGCAAGAGAACTTGGCCTTGGAGAGCACAGCATTCACCCCCTAAACAAGCACAGCTGGCAATGAGGCCTGTGGCTGGTGGAATACCGGAGGCTCCCATCAGGCTGTGGCGTGCACTGTGAGAGCTTCCACCAGTGGGAGACTGGACAGACGCCCCGGAGGGAGGGAATGTGCTGACGAGTATCGTCCCTGAGACCTGTGGAGGCTCTGGGGAATCTGTCCTCACAAGGATAATGGAATTGAATGGCTGTTGCTAAGTGGCATCATTTATTTGAGAAAGACAATGAAAGCCTGAGAGTTATTAATCACCAACTTGAGGTGAAGCGTGCAAGTCAGAAAACCTTCCTGGCAGCACGTAAGCAGGCAGGCTCACATCTCCTTCAGCCAGATTGCAGGAAAAGCTGAAGAGCAGGCTTGGGCCTGAACTACAAGGGCAGTGAAGCTCCAGAGAAGGCTGAACGTTCAGCCCTGACACCTCTGCCATGCCAGCAAAGGACTTGTTGTCAAGGAGTGGGACCCTAATATTTGGGCTGGGGACATCCAGGTCAACATCTCCCCAACAGCTGTGAGAACACTCTGGGCTTGCAGAAGGGGCCCTCTTCTCCTTGTTAAAGGCTAGTGCTCCCCACTTGCTTGAAAATGCTGCAGGACAGGGATCCCCGACCCCTAGGTCATGAACCAGTATCTATCCATGGCCTGTCAGCAACCAGACCTCACAGCGGGAGGTGAGCAGCGGTGAGTGAGCATCACCACCTGAGCTCTGCCTCCTGACAGATCTGCAGCAGCATGAGGTCCTCATAGGAGCACAAACCCTGTTGTGAACTATGCAGGGAAAGGATCCAGGTTGCGAGCTCCTCATGAGAATCTAATGCCTGATGATCTGTCACCATTTCACATCACCCCCAGGTGGGACTGTCTAGTTGCAGGAAAACAAGCTCAGGGCTCCCACTGATTCTGTATGACTGTGAGTTGCATAATTATTTCATTGTATATTGCAATGTAATAATAATAGAAATAAAGTATACAAGAAATGTAATGTGCTTGAATCATTCTGAAACCACCCCCACCCCCAGTCTGTGGAAAGCTTGTCTTCCATGAAACCAGTCCCTGGTGCCAGAAAGACGGAATGCCTGCAGCAGAAGCTCTGCCCCACAAGTCGACGTGGGCATCTTCCTGAGGCACGCACCCCTGGGTCTCTGCCACCACTTCCCCTCCCACCAGCCGGGCTGATCATGAGATTCAGGTCACAGCAGTACATAGATGGGGAAGTGCAGAAAGTGCCTGCTATGGGAAGAAGGGCCCCCAGAGAAGCTGCAGGGCCTCACCGAGAGGCATGGGCAGGAACCGGGAGAATGTGTGGAGCTAGGTTCTGAGGGTGTGAGACTAGGATGGGCAGAACCTACGCTTGGAATAGGGAGAGTTTATCAATGTGGGCCTGCCTGTCCGTGACCCAGGGTTGTAAACTCTGGCAAGGCCCCTAAGCAGTGCTAACATGCTCTAGGAGGGCTCCTAGGAGCTTGAAGGAAGCAAAGGTCTGCACTAAATTAAGCAGAAATGCCTGGGCCACCCTCCTGCCCATGAAGGAAGGGACAGAAAGGCTCAGAGGAGTGTACCCTTTAGAGCAGTCCAGCACATCAACTTGGAAAGCCAACCACACTCTTCAGCCATAGTACATGCCAGTTACCAATCAGATAAAGAACACACTGCCAAGAGGGACACTGCTGAACCACACAAGGCGGCTATGCTGCTGTTACAGAACTAGACTCCTGAATGCAAAGAAGGTCGATGGAATCCCACAACAGAAGCTAGTGTGTCACTGGGCAGGGAGCAAGGTGGGCACAGTGACACAGGGCATCAAACCTGGAGTGGCAGCTGGAGCACTTGACCCAGCAGCAGGAATGAACACACCTGCCATGGGGTAGTTATATGGCAGCTGAAAAGGGCACCTCACAATCCACGCATCCTTAACAAAAGCTTTTCTAGAGGAAAACTGGTCAGGAGGCTGCAGGAAACTGACCAATAGAAAGCCACATTTCAGCTCTGGGGCTGAGCTCATTTTCAGACCTGGAACCCACTGACAGAGAAAGAGGCTGAGCGCTGGGAGGAAGGACCCTCCAACATCACAGCAGAGTCTATACAAACACTCTCCCCCAGATCCTCTACAAAGAGATGCATGTCATTTGAGAACCACCGGGCACAGGAACTGAGATGACATTGGTACCCAGGGACCTACACCTGGTCCTGAATCCTCTGTTAGAGTAGAGGCGTGCAGAGGCCAGTTTTGAAGGAAGAGCTAACCAGGTCCAGCTCACAGTTATTCCCCTAGGTCCACAGACCCAACCAGAGCCCCTTCCCCAGCCTCCAAATGTAGAATTCAAACTGACTTTTGAAATTGGTAAAACTGCCACATCAGTTTCTAGGAGTCGGTGGTAAGAGCTACCCACATGGGTAAGTTCAAGTGGACGCCCCCTACCCCCAAACACATACCCCAATGCAGAAAATCAAAAATAACATTACATCCCATAGGAAATGCCGGAGATTAAACACCTAGAGAATGCAGGGCTATACCAGCACACCCCTATTGAATTCACCATCTGGCCCTAGAAAATCCTGACAGGCTCTAGAGGATGACAACGGACATCTGCAACTCAGCCAGGCAGTTGCTGTTTGTAACCAACGGGGAGCAGCTTTCCCGGTGCAGGTGAGCTCAGTGGCCTATGGCCCAGGAATGCAGCCTGTTCCGGGTGAACGCATTCTTTTCCACCCTTATCAGGAAGGAGAACCAGAACAGGCTGCATTCACGTGGGACACCTGGCAGGCTGCTTGGGAGAAGAAAGCAAGATCAGAAGATTGAGGCAAGCTCAGGCGAGCAGCACGTGATGGGTGCAGGGCATGGGTGCAGAGTATGTTCACACTCACTGGAGCACAAGCACTGCTGGGAAGAACTAAGCAGTCAAGGGTACAGCTGGCCAGGTGCTGCCAGCCCCGGCCACTGCCACCATGGTGCTGACACAACACGCAGTTTGTTGACTAGAATCAAGGCATCACCTACTTACAGTCTGACCTTTCCTGCCCAAGGGCTTTAGCCAGCTCCACTGCCCCAGGGACCATGACATGTTTGATTTGCCAGCACAGAACCCCACAAAACAATGCATCAGACCAAGCATCCTACCTTGCAACAGAGGTGGCACAGCACGGGATCATGAGATCCATGGCCTTCCTCATGACCTACCACCATCCAGAAAGCTGCTGGCCTGATAAAAACCATGGAGCTATCTTTCAAAAATGTAGCTGAGTCCGTGCACAGTAGCTCATGCCTATAATCTAGGTACTTTGGGAGGCTCAGGTGGGTGGATCAATTGAGGTCAGGTATTCAAGACCAGCCTGGCCAACACGGTGAAACTGTCTCTACTAAAACTACAAAAATTAGCCAGGTGTGGTGGTGTATGCCTATAATCCCAGCTGCTCTGGAGGCTAAAGCAAGAGAATTGCTTCAAAACGGGAGGCAGAGGTTGCAGTGAGTTGAGACTGCACCACTGCACTGCAGCCCGGGTGATAGAGTGAGACTCCATCTAAAAAAAACAAAAAAAAAGATGTAATTGAAATGGCAGCTTGTGAGCTGATCCACTGCAAGAATGGCACACAGCAAAATCAATGATCTTCAAATAGTACTATGTCCCCAGCAGGTAGAACATGTGGATTCCGAAACAGTGGGCTGAATGTAGAAGTGGCCACATCATGACTCCCACCCCAGGAGTCTGTATGTTGTCGTGTCCTACCACTCTGGACACACTAAACCAGACATCGGGCTCCCAAAAGGGGCCTGCGTCTGCACTCTGGGCCCCTGCAGCAAGCGTCCAGTAGGCAAGGAAAGGAAGTGCCAACCTCAGGGATGGCAGGGGGATTCTCAGGCGGATAAAGCTGCTGTGCCATGCGGGCAGGGAAGACTCCATTCGGCACTCAGGAGACCCATCGAGGGGTCGCCTCGGACTCCCTCATCCACACTTGATGGTGAATGGACAAGAGTGGCCACCATGGCCAGAGAAGGACGTGATGGAGGCATGGAGGTCTGGGGCATCCCTCCAGGTAGGCCACCTAGAGATCGGGACTAGAGATGGAGAATTTTCAGCACAGAGGCAGTGGTTGATGGTAGGAGAGATTGCAGGAGGCTCAGAACACTGTGAGGAGATGCTGGCTGAGGATCAGGTAGGAAGAGGCTATTGCATCGATCAAGGTAACAGAGTCTGAAACCTGCAATGCTGCTGTGGGATGGCCCGTCCCATCCCCCCGTCAACATCAATATCAACAAAAAAATGAACAACCCACAGGACTTGCAGGCGTGAAGAAGGGCGATGCTGCCCGGTCAGTGTTCACGCTACTGTACGAACTTGCTCATTCCGTGGTTCTCATTCATCTCTTTGTGTTGTGCTTTGCTGCCTTCTACCCTCAACAATAAAAGAAGATAAAATTCAGTTAATACATGCATTTTCATTACGAACTAAAGAAACTACCCTTATTGTATTTCATATGTTTTTACACTCTGAGGAATTGGGATAATTTGGGAAAGGTGACTATTTGTGGGAGGTTCCAAGCCTGCCCAATCTCTTCTCTAGCACCTTTGGGGAAGCACATCTGTCCCCAAGAGCTGCCCACATGCATGGAGCCTGCAGGCAGCCCTCCAGCCAGCGGGAGATGGTTCTGCTTTACAGACCCACACATTTGCAAAGGAAACCACACCATCAATTCCCCTTGCTCACCAACATAGCTCTTCATTCATAAAGATTCAACCCCATCAGGTATTTGAGAAAAATAAATAAATAAACGGTTAGAAGTCTAGATAAAGAAACAGAACAATAGACCCTGGTGAAAAGAGGAATAATTATTGGACAGAAAAGAACTTTAAAAACATGTCACTGGCGAGGTCAGAGAGACTGGTTATGCTGTTATAGCCATCCCCAAAGAACTTACTGGTTTAGGAAACGAGGAAGCGCAGAGCAAGAAAGTATCTAGGAAATTTAAAGTCTATTTGTGAACATTAAATACTCAGGGTACAGGCTTAATTAAAATCTGAACACAGCTAAAGACCAAGTTACTAAAGACTGATAGCACAAGCTAAACAAGACAGGGAGAAAGAAAATATGAAAGGAAAATGAAAATGCAGAGAAGTGACACCCGGAAGGTTCAATATCACCTCATCTATCTCCAGAAGCAGATAACAAAGTGAGAAAAAGAATGAGTTTAAGAGCATTTTAAAAAGACCACATATATCCTGTTAATATTTCAGAACCCCAAGGCTAAAATACAAACCCTAAATACTTCTAGAGCCGGGGGTGGGGGGGGGGAACCTATAAAGAATGAGAAGTAACTTGGCCTCAGATTTATCAGTAGAATGTAACATTAGAAGATAAAGGAGCAAAGCATTCAAAAATTTTAAGGGAAAGTTATTGTGAAACTAAATTACATTCCAAACTATCAATCAAGTGGGGCAGTGGAAAATAAAGATATTTTAAGAGTTGTAAGACTCAGAAAGTTTTACTTCCCTTTCTGAAAAAAAAAGAAAATCACAGAGCAGTAGGTACTCTCCAGGTACTCTTAGCACTGTTCGTGTGTTACAACTCCTTGAATCTTCACATCAACACAAAATTAAAATCCTAATTTTACAGATGAGAAAATTGTTGGACAGAGAGGGTTACACTCTGGCAAAATGAAGAAGAAACTCAAGGGAAAAGATGCTATGCAGTTTAACTCGTGGTGAACCATGGAGGAGACCCATGAAAACAAATCTGAGGTTGACAGCTCTGCCGTGTGCCTAGAAAGCAAGTGACCAATTCGAAGAGAAAGTAGGGGGCTTGGGGAAAAAAGCCTTCAAGACTGAAACAAATCCAATTACATATACTGCTTGACTAAAAACCTGGAAAGCCTAAAAGATACATATGTCTCTTTCCTCAGTGGTTAGAAAAAACAAACAACAAGGAAGTAAGGGGCGCTGAGGTGGGGGTGGGGGACATAGCTCCATAAAACATGCATGGACCAAACATGGAGCACATTTAAAGGTGGCCTAATTTTGAGCAATGGTTGTAGTTTTAAGAAAAGTAAAAATACATTGAATCTTGACCCCTGGAAGGTTATCCTTCAAATAGCATGGTTCGGTGACATAAGAGTACTTTGTATTTGTTTTGCAATGAACATTTTTAAATAATCATAATAAAATAAATGCTATATTTTAACTTTTTATTTCTATCGCAGATTTTAAAAGCATAGAAAATGTAACCACAGTAAAACACACATATTTTAAATCCTGATGATGTAAAAATAATGGCATAGCCAGCCAAAAAGGAAAGAGAGGTGGGACGTGTAAGGGTGCTAATTTTCTCACCAACAGAAAACAGCTACAGTTGATGGAACTACAACACCAAAGGTACAATCCATTAACGATATAGTTAATAAAGTAGACTTCATTAAAATCTTTAAAACTCTTGTTCTGCAAAAGATACTGTCAAGACAATGAGAAGAAAAAAATGGAAAAACATGTACCTGCAAAAGACATGTCTGATAAAGGACTGTCATCCAAAATATAGAAAGAACTCTTAAAACTCAGCAAGAAAGCAAGCAGCCCAACTGTAAAACAGACAAAAGATCTGGACACTTCACCAAAGACATACAGCTTGTAAGTAAGCATATGACATCATGTGTCACTAGGGAATTGCAAATTAAAACGAGATACCCATAATAGGTAATAACAATAATCTCCACTATTAGAATAGTGCAGATCTAGAGCTGAAGGCTCAAGAAATAGAGAAGCACGTTGCTTAAAGTTTTTGAAGCTACAGATAGATTTTACAATAAATACAATCAGCAAGAATCAACACATGGAAGAGAGATGGTAGAGTGCCGAAGGGCCCTCAATTATTTATCTTTCCTAGTAAGGAGTTAATATACACTGTCCAAAGCTGACTGATCAAGAATAAGGTAAAAATAATTTGAGATGAAGTTCTGATGATAATGTCTAAGACAATTGAAAGCAAGAGTACTTATCTTCGGGGCATGGGTGTCCAAGAATGCAGAGATGCCTAGAAAGAGATTTACTTTATTTTGTATCCTTCTGGGCTGCTTGGGTTTTTTTTTAATAGTGTGCGTGTAGTATTTTCATAATTTAAAAAGCAATTTTTTAATCAGTATTTTTTCTGTTAGGGAAGTAAACAGCTGAAGGATTAAGTTTATGGAAATTTTTTCTAGAAGCTTAATAATAGATGTCAGTAACAAAGCATCACTGAAAATAATGTATTTTTGAATTTTGAAATGCCTCTTAAGTTTTTCTCAAATTGCAAATCTCCCTGAGGGTGTTCCTCCAAGTCCTACTTATCAGACGTACTACTAAGTTTAAATTATAAAATTCTTACCTGTAATTGAAGCCAGCTGCAACCTTTTTGACAAGGACTAATTGCCGATAATGATTTAAGTGCTGCAAATTCACATGCCACAATTGTTTTAAATAGGGGAACCTCTCACAGCTTTCTCTGAAAAGAACTGTTAATCTTTGCTGCTGACTTATCAAATCCTTCAGTCACCTGTTTGCCATCATTTTCATGAGCTGATAACGTGTTTATTAGAGTCATAATGTGCAGGTGGAAGAATAAAGGTCTCATTTGATGGCACTGGAATTTCATCTAACATTTCTACATGGAAAAAGCTGGCACAAGCCTCAGGCTTGGCTTAGCAGAGAAAGACAATAAAGGCACGCATTATTTTTTTAATTTGAAGCAAATGAAAAGTTAGCATTTATTTAACGTCAGTAAATTTAGATGACATAACTGGGTAAGAGCCGTGACTTGTAATGTCCGCCTGCTGCAAATCAAGGATCCCTGGTGCTGAACAATAGCCAAGGGGCTGCTGCTGGGGATGGCTCCTCCTCGCCCCCACCTCCCTGACTCCTTTCACTGCATCTCATCTTTTCTTCTCTTCCTCAGCATTGCATCAGTTCCCCTTGGCTGCTCGTTGCTGGGTTTGGAGGCACTAAATTGTTACAACCTCTGGTTGATGGGAAAGGAGCAGTTTGGCAGCATATATTCAAAAGTTAACACAACCTTTCACTTTGCAATTCTACCACTAAAAAATTATCCAAAGAAAATAAGAATGGATCGGCCGGGCGTGGTGGTTCACGCATGTAATCCCAGCATTTTGGGAGGCCGAGGTGGGCAGATCACCTGAGGTGAAGAGTTCGAGATCAACCTGACCAACATGGAGGAAACCCCTGTCTCTAATAAAAATACAAAATTAGCCAGGCATGGTGGCACATGCCTGTAATCACAGCTACTCAGGAGGCTGAAGCAGGAGAATTGCTTGAACCTGGGAGGCGCAGGTTGCGGTGAGCTGAGATCACACCATTGCACTTCAGCCTGGGCAACAAGAGTGAAACTCTGGGAGGGAGGGAGGAAGGACGAAATAAGAATGGAACATGTGCAAATTCCGAGCTGCAAGGATTTCAATCAGAGTATTGCTTATAATGCTAGGAAACTGGGAACAATCTGAAGCGTCGGCCATAGGCAGCTGGTCTGATTCCTGAGAGCTCAGACATGGGGACGATGTGCAGCCACGAAGGACACCTGAGCTCCATGGCCTGGAAAACTGTTTCCAGAAAGGGGTCCCGATCCAGACCCCAAGAGAGGGTTCTTGGATCTCGTGCAAGAAAAAATTCGAGGCGAATCCGCAGAGTAAAATGAAAGCAAGTTTATTGAGAATGTAAAGGAATAAAAGAAAGGGGGGCTATGTAAGGGAACTCCATAGGCAGAGCAGCCCTAGGGCTGCTGGTTGCCATTTTTATGGTTATTTCTTGATTATATGCTAAACAAGGGGTGGATTATTCATGCCTCCCCTTTTTAGACCATATAGGGTAACTTCCTGATGTTGCCATGGCATTTGTAAACTGTCACGACGCTGGTGGGTCCGTAGCAGTGAGGGTGACCAGAGGTCACTCTCATCGCCATCTTGGTTTTGGTGGGTTTTGGCTGGCTTCTTTACTGCAAACGTTTTATCAGTAAGGTCTTTGTGACCTGTGCCAACTTCCATCTCATCCTGTGACTTAGCATGTCTTAACCTTCTGGGAACGCAGCCCAGAAGTCCTCAGCCACATTTTACCCAGCTCCTGTTCAAGATGGAGTTGCTCTGCTTCCAACGCCTCTGACACTTACAAGGGTGTTACCTTTAGCCAACTGCTTAAGCACTGTCAGCCTCAAATTCCTCCTGCATCAAATGGGAATAGCACCTCATTCATTTGATCATTGGGGGATCAAAAGTCCTCAGGAACACAAAACGCTCCGCACAGTGCCTGGCCTGTTGTATCTGATAAATGCCATTTTATGATAATGGTGATCATAATAAGGCTTGCTGTCATATTAAACCATAACAATCATGTTGAAGGGTAAGATGGACTGAGGGAAAGAAACATCCCTGTGGGAATTCAAGTCAGGAATCAAAAAAGTAGCTGTTCTTGACCTCATTAAAGTAATAGATGCAAAATAAAAGACAAATGATCAAGGCAAAAAGTTAACGGCGATTACTCCTGAAAGGTAGAATTATGTTGATTTTATTTTCTTTTTGATTCTCTGTATGTAAAACTTTCTACAAAGAAAGTATTTTACTTTACTAATTAAGAGAAATGGTTTTTTTTTTAATTCCTTCTTTAGATGACTGTAGTTCACAGACTTTCAGAAGTACGATCTACTCCAACCTCATCACTCTACTGTTGAAGAACAGAAGCATCTAGAATGGAGTGCTGCCCCCACTGGACCCTGAAGAGAAGGAGCCCCAGAGCCCAGGAGTCCCCACGGCCTCTCAGTGTAATTGGAATTAGGCTCGCGGCAGTTATCTGGGCATCTCTAAGGACTAGATCTTGGCTATCTCCTTTTATCCCAGATACGTGGACTGGCGCATGGTAGGATGTCAGTAAATATTTGTTGAGTGGATACACATATGAATATGAGTCACCTGTGCTTCCATAAGCATTAGAAGACATGTGAACAGCTCTGAAAGCAGCAATTAGTCTCCTGAGGGTATCTGAGAAAGCTTCCTAGAGAGGAAATATCGAAATCAGGTCCCAGAAGGTGAATTCAAGTGAGTTCTGTCAGACTGTTTGAACCAGAGTGAATCCATCTTGAATAGGGGCTTGGTAAAATGAGGCAGAGACCTGCTGGGCTGCGTTCCCAGGAGGTTAGGCATTCTTAGTTACAGGATGAGATAGGAAGTTGGCACATGTCACAAAGAGGATGAGACGGAAGGGCAGCACAACACACTAGTCACAAAGACCCCACTGGGAAAACAAGATGCAGTCAAGAAGCTGGTTGAAACCCACCAAAACCAAGACAGTCATTCTCAATGCTCATCATACACTATCATAATAAACTTCGTGCTAAAGACACTCCCGCCAGTGCCATGACCATTTAGAAATGCCATGCAATGTCTAGAAGTTACCCTATATGATCCAAAAGGAAGAGGAACCCACACTTCCAGGATATCTCTGCCCTTTTCCAGGAAAACTCATGAATAATCCACCCATTGTTTCCCAGATGATCAAGAAATAACCATTAAAATGGCCAAGCAGCAGCCCTCAGGGCTACTCTCTCCAGGGCACTCCATTCTTTTGTTTCTTTGCTTCCCTGATAAACTGCTTTCGCTTACTCTGCTTTCACTCTGTGGACTCTTCCCTGTGGACTCTTTCTGGCATAGGATCCAAGAACCCTCTCTTGGGGTCCAGATCAGGACCCCTTTTCAGTAACAGCTCCAGACCAAGTAAACAGCCGTGGAACTTAAAACGCACTTTGAGCTGGGGAAGAAGCTTCCGTCCTCACCTGGAAAAACCTAACGTCCGTGCAGGAAAATGTACACAGAAGAAAGCAGGAAAGGAGAAGTGGCCAGAATAGACTTCCATTCTTTCATTTATTTCTAGGCCACTTTCCAGGCCAGTTGGTTATTTGAGAGATTTAAGATACATTGCTAATAGCTGATAATGGTTTAATGGTTTCTTTCTTTCTTTTTTTTTTTTTTTTTTTTTTTTTTTTTTTTTTCTGTCCAGGTTTTTTTTTCATTTTCATACCCAGGGCCTCTCTAACTTCACCGCTCCTCAGGAGAGAATTGCAGGTAATTAGGGCGGTCAGCAGGAGGGATCTCAGGGCAGGAGTGCCTCTCGGGCCCCTGTAAATCACCTCCTCTGACAGCTGACTTCCCCACCTGCCTGCAGCTTGCCAGGGATACCATAAAAGATAATCCTATACGCCCTGCCAGCAAGCACCCAACCCAGCCCAGTCCCACCCTCTCCAACAAACATGCTCTAAGGGACATTTTTATGATGGATTTTTTTTCATTTAATCACATTATCCATTTCATCTGCTCTTCTGTACCTGTTACAATTAGGGAGAGGTTGAAAGAGATTTAAAAAGAAAATACAGTCACTGATTTCCCAAGACTTGATTTTTCACCTCTAGTGCCCTCTCATAAGTGCTTAAGACGTTACACTTTGTTCTGTTGGAACCCATTATTTCCCTGGGAGACTCGATGTCTGTTTTGATAGGAGCAATTTATCACACTGGCGAAATCATACTACTGTTTGGAAGGCAGGCCCAGGATTTATGAATCCTTTTTCACTGAGAATGAATTTAATTCCCAGGGATGGAAGTGGTATTAAAAGATTTGGCCTGCTGTACCTGTGGCATCTGAGACGGTGGCTTCCAATATGAGTGGAGCATTCACCCCCGTCCTCTGCTATGAAAGCCTTCACTTTCCTAATGGAGGAACCTCCATGAGGGCATGAAATTCAATTCAGTTGGGTGTGAAACAATGGCTGTACTTAATAAGGAATTCAAAGCAATAAAATTGACTTGCAGAGCATTTTTACTCTATTTTTAGAGCATTTGAGTTTTTAAACTCTTATTTATTGAAGATGCTTTTTCAAAACATCCATTAAAGCACCAAGCCAAATTATTGACATATTGGGACCAATTCTTTCTTGCCATTTATAGTGTTCAGTTGCCTTGCATGTGTTACAGCCCAGGTACAACGTCACAGGGAGCACCCTGGAATCACCTGGGGAGCCTGACAAGCTATTCATGCCTGGGTCCTACCCCAAAAGTGTTTAAGACAATGTCCAGGTACAGTCTCAGCATCAGGAATTTTGTTTATGCTTCCCAGGTGATTCTAATGTATAATCAAGTTTGGGAACCACTGCTATAATATATTAAGTTTGATATTTTTGAAACAAGCATAGTAGTTTCAAATAAGACAGCCTTCCTACAAATGATCATCTATTTTAAATACACCAAGCATGACTTCCTGCACTGTTTCATTGGTCTAGTTGGTAACTGGAGAAACATGTCTTACATCATCATGGACAAATGTATGTTTTCCATAATGAATTGTCTTTACTGCCCTTGAGCTTGTGTGCAAGTCAACAATTCTTGCTAATGGGAGTACTTTTGCTCTATGGATTATTTCAACCCATTAAACAGCTTACCTGCACCACTTCGATCTCATGCATTACTACTGGATATTCATTCATTGTGCCCAGTCACGGTCACTCTCTTCTGCCTGTACCTCTACTCATATTCTCTGCTCCTCACTCATCACGCACCCACCCATCCATCTAACCTTCCATCCACTCCACCCTTTGTTTGGCACTGGTATTACAATGATGAATGAAACAGGCCCTGCCTCAGAGGAGCTCCCGATCCGGTGTAGAAAGTAGACAAGTCAACAGAAACCACAGGAAGGCATCCTATGCCATGCAAGAAATGAGATGAGGCTGCAGGGAGCACCGAAGAGGGCCCCTCCTTCTGCAGTGGGCAGGGAAGACGGCTGCCCCTATCACAAGAAGTACTACCATTTCCAGAGTCACTTTTTGTGTCACTGTACTCTTAAATTATTTATTGACTGTCACTGTATAACACAGGTATAGAGAGATGCCCACAGTAGGTAGGTATTACCTGTTTCTCTTTGTATCTGTATTCAGTCATTCCTTGGAACTAAATAAGTAT